ACAGTTGTGGGATTCCTTTTAAAATAAATAGTAATTCAACTCAAAAAATTATGAATTTCGGATATGTCCTAGAAGACATCTTGATGAACATTTTTCATGAAGAACACAAAACCCAGTTCTGCCTAGAACCATCTCTTTTTGTCATCCAAAGTCGGACATAAAACATTTCATTCGGACTGGCCATCCGGCTTTCAAAATGCATTTCAAACGGTAACCAAATCTTCTTAGAAAGCTTTGAAATTTTTATATGTTATAGCCACAAATGTCCCAAAAATCGAGAACGGACTAGAGTAGAAGACGAAGAAGAGTTCGAGAGGCCAGGGCCGGAGCCGGAAAGGCAACGGCGGCGACGAAGACGTAGGCGAAGGAGGAGGAGGAGGAGGGGGAGGGCTTGAGGTGAGTGAGTGAGTATTTTCTCGTGAGGGAGAGAGAAAAGGATCCGGGAGGGGAAGAAAAGTTGCAGAAGAGAGAGGTGTTGACGGAAGACTTGAAATGAGTTCTTCTACAAAGAGGGGGGAGAGAGAAAAGAGACAATAAATTCAGCATTGATTGTTGCGTGTGTTAGTTCTTTCGGCCAGAGGAGAGAGAGACAAGAGACCTTCCGGTTCACTTTTTTAATTCCACGTCGGAGGACAAATGTCCCCTTTTGAGTGGAGCCACGTAAGTTTAAGCATGCCACGTAGGCGGATGACGTGGTGATATCAAACCACTGAATATTTTCTCAGAGAGAGGAGAAAGAGAGAATTCGTCAGTTTCATGGAGTCCTATCTGGGTTTTTGCTTGTGGACTCTGGGTTCTTGAGAAAATGGTGCTTTTGACCGTACCACAACCCATTGTTTCCTCCTTTCTATAGCACCCAATTCTTTCAAAAGAAAGGAAAAAACCCACAACTTTCTTTCTTGCTTTCTAGTGGAGCATAAAGATGATTCCGCTCTTTCCCAGTTGGAATAATCTGTGCCTGTGGCAGTTCGTGGCCAAAAACCAAGTCTTTTCAGGTCTTTATTCTCTCTCTCTCTCTCTCTCTCTCTCTCTCTCTCTACATAGTCACGGACTGAAATTGATTTAAAGCAAGGGGTAATAACTCATCTTTTGGGTATATTTCTTCTTTTGCAGTGAGTTAAAGAGTCATGCTGAGGAAGAGATCAAGACGCACAGCACCAACACCATCAACAGCAGCAGCAGAAGCAAGCTCTGATGGCTGACTATGGCTGTCTTCCTTCTCCAACGGGAAAAAACAGAGGAGGAAGCCCAACTCCGGCTTTGTTCACCTATCCAAAATTATTCACTAGTAACATCACTATCAAGTGTGAGACGGAGTCCATCAAGAGCCCAACTTCCATACTCGACACCAAGCCATTTTCCCACTTGAAGAGCTCGTTCTTGTCAGACACCAGCTCTCCCAAAATCTCGGAACCCAAAAGCATTGGCCTAGCTATTGTGGATGCTCTGAGAGATGATAATTGCTCCAAACTCGATTCACGCAAATCTGAGAACTTGACTGTACTGTTTGGCTCACAGCTCAGGATTCAAATCCCAAAAACCCCCACTGATTTTGGCACCAAAACAAGGAATTCCCAATTGAGCTTTTTGTCCCCAAGCCTGGGTCACTCTCCAGCAAATAAGCAAGAGGCAATTAGACCCCCTCCTGGTGGGGTTGTTTTGGCTGGTTCAATTTCAGCTAGCGAGATGGAGCTCTTGGAGGACTACACTTGCGTGATCTTGCACGGGCCGAACCCAAAGACGACGCACATATTCGATGACTGCATTGTGGAAAGCTGCTGTGGTTCTATAGGGTTATCAGAAGCAGATTGTAGGAAGGACAATGGGTTGTTTTTGGCGGATCATTGGAGGTTTCCTTCCGAGAGTTTCCTTAGCTTCTGCTACACTTGCAAGAAAAATCTTGGAGATGGAGAGGACATTTACATTTACAGGTCAGCTGAAAATTCCCCCGTCTCTGAAGCAGAGCACTTTGCCCATTTTGTCATTGCAATTCCATGCAAACTGAAGGTTTAGATTTGGTTAATATGTAGGAATTCGTTTTTAGAATTACGCTGTTAATTGATCTGCATCACTTGGTCTTTAGTCCATAGTTGCTTAATTTATATGCTTCTCATGTTTTCCATTTTGACCTATGAAAGGTTAAAACTTTGGTAAATTTCAGGGGGGAGAAAGCATTCTGCAGTGGCGAATGCAGATCGCAGCAAATATTGCTTGAAGAGGGCACGGAAACTTAAGTCTCTATTGGCTAGTGATCTCTCATGTTTCAAAGCTACCTGCGATTTTTCCTCCTCCTTTTCTTCGTTTAGTTTTTTTTTTGAAAGTCTAAGAGTTTTAGAAGAACAGTCTCCCCTGTTCCCCGTCAAATTTTGCCTGCCTTGTTCATATCTTTTGCAAGTACTTTACCTTTCAAGCACAGAGTCTTCTGACGGGACTCAGGTTTTCTGTGATCAGTTTTGCTGGAGTGATGATAAATTAGGGAAGTTGCCATTTGCTAATTTTTTGCTGTTTGGTGCTGTGTCAACAGTGGTACTTTGGCTTGCAAAGTGGGCATCATAGTCATGACAATGATGTGTGACCAAAAGCTTGCATTATGGGGGTGCTTATCTCTCTCTCCCTCTTTTTTGACAGAGTCATAATAGAAAAAAACCAAAGCACACAGGACCAATGTTTGCCAAAAGCAAAAGGGGGATAGGACCAAAGCACATAGTACCAATGATCACATTAGAGTGATTCTTTTCTCTCACTTGTGTGTGTGTGTCCTCTTGTGCTTTTGGGGAAGTCCCTTTTGCTCCTCTGTCTCACTACTTCATAGCGCAATGATCTCAAGACTGAGTTTAGGAGAGAAAGAATTAGTATAATATTTTGTAGTGGTTGATGACACCTTAGTCACTGTTAAAATTAAATAATATCATGAGCAGCTCTAAAGTTGATGATGCCCTCCCCAGATGGTGTCTTCTTAGTCGTGTGTCGCGAGATGCGGGGCGAAGTATTCTCGTGTTATGGGAAATCAACGTGGAGTTCGGTCGGATGCACAAACTCTTTTTACTAAAAAGCACTTTATGCCCGTTTTTAATTAGCTTACCTCGGGACAAGAGCGCGTCTGGCATGTTTCGCGTGGAAGTACCACCGGGGGGATTATAGGAAAATTATGTATTAGTGATAGGTGCAAAATTTTAATTGGTAAAGTTTTCAATCATATTTGACATTGTTCTCCTTAGTGGGTTTGAGTAAATGATATTGATAACCTATGTTCAAATTGATTGAATGAAGATAAAATTGTCAGTAAAAAATGTAACACCTCGGGTCTACATTGTGTAATATTGTCCGCTTTGGGCTCACTGGTCCTCACGGCTTTAAAACGCATTACACATGATAGGCCACCCAGGCCTTATAAACTAGCCTAGAACTCCCCCCTAGGCGATGTGGGACAAGAGACATGCCCCCCCTTGCCATGCTAGAAGCCTGCCAGAAGCCGCTCCTTGCTCAGGCTAGAATCCACCGGCTCCGGCGACCACTCCCCGCTCTCGTCGGACCGGGTCGTTACATTCTCCCCTCCTTCGAGCACAGCGTCCTCGCTGTGGCCCCACACGCGGTCGGGAGTCGGCTTTGATACCAATTGTAACACCCCGGGTCTACATTGTGTAATATTGTCCGCTTTGGTCCGCTTTGTCCTCACGGCTTTAAAACGCGTTACACATGATAGGCCACCCAGGCCTTATAAACTAGCCTAAAACTCCCCCTAGGCGATGTGGGACAAGAGACATGCCCCCCTTGCCATCCTAGAAGCCTGCCAGAAGCCGCTCCTTGCTCAGGCCAGAATCCACCGGCCCTGGCGACCACTCCCCGCCCTCGTCAGACTAGGTCGTTACAGAAAATGAATAATTCTATATGGGATGAGTGCGTATGGTGTTTTTGGGACTTCAAGTGAATGTTAAACGCACCGTATCCATGTTCATATTTTTCTCCATCCAAATCCAAATGCTCGAACAACAAATATTGGGTTTATGTAATATTCAACATTTACGAATAAGAACTTGACAAAATTATTTAGTTGGAAATTTTTATGGATTGAGAAAGAATCATTTTGCATCGTTATTACATGAATTTCACTAAAAAAAAAGGGAAATAAATGGAAAAACAATCGATTTGAATAAAAACCTCTCGAATTTGATGTGGAACACAAAAGTCACAAATAAAATTCTTTCACCATAATGGAGTCCATGAGATTGGACTTTCTCAATTTGTAGAATTGGGGCACTACTATAGATCTTCGATGATCCGTTCTTAGGAGATCGGTGACCATCGGATCACAATCTCGATCGTTTGTTAAAATATCTCCGAAGTATTTTTTAGGTATGGCATTTCGCGCACGAAATACAACACAATTTACTAGGTTACGACACGAAAGACGTTTTCGGGTCAGATAGTCGATCAGTCCATCGAGGGATTACAGAAAATTCATATCGTTACCGTCCAATATATCAAAGCCAGATCTTTGACGGGAAACAAAATTTACATGTTGCTTTGATGGAGTGCTAAGTTAGCAAATTAAGAAGCAATCACTAGTCACTACCCCCTTATTATATAAGGTTAATGACACAAATGGTCCCGAACTTTGATCTAATATACAATTTCGTCCATGAACTTTTAATTTGTTCAATGTGGTCCCTTAAATTTTGGTACATATTTATATGAAAATGTCTAATGTTGTTCATGAACTTAAATTTACGGAAAGACAACATTAACAAGTTCACGAAGAACATTGGATATTTTCATACGGTCGTATACTAAAATTGAATATATACCAAAAGTACAGGGATCGCATTGAACAAATTAAAAGTTTGAGGATGATATTGTACATTGAATCAAAGTTAGGGATCATCTGTGTCATTATCCCTATCAAATATTAGTAATGGACGGGCTTGAGCTGTAATTTTGGCCCGACCCGACGATCCGGTCGGGCCGGGCTGGGGCAGCCCATGGATCACCTGTGCGTCGCCGCTAGGACAGGGGTACATCAAACAAGAGAAGCTGGAACTGCATGACCGGAGCGACCCAGAGAAGACGCCGGTCGCAAATCTGAAGCGAACTTCTGCTCGCGACGAGCCATGGCGGAAGCTCTCATCGAGCTCGAGCAAGTTCTCAGGTCCAAAAAGGTACCGACGAGGGCTTTCCCTTTCCCTCTCCGATGCGTGTCGTCGCGTCATTCGTGCCTGATTCGCAATTAGCGCCGGCAATCTGCCTGCAACCCACGATGATTCTGCCACCGATTGAGCTTTGGGTTGAAGCTGCGTTTAGCTTTCCGGATGTTTGAACCTACGTACATGTCGGATTCTTGGGCTGTTCAGCGTCTGCTGTTGTGGGGGCGAATTCGTTTGGTTTTTTGAGTGTTTACTTCACTCGTGCATGGTGGAGGAACAGGGAGTAGTGCAATATGATGTGACTGATGATTGCAGTCATGTTGGTGGGTCAGTTTTGAATTCTCGTTTATCTGCTCAGGTGACGATGACTCTCGAAGAAGCCAATCTTCTTTCGGCGTGCAAGTCGAAAGCTTTGGACAATTTCACGTATGGCATTGGGCTTAGCTCTGGCATTGTATGGGCAGGTTCGCATTTCGGGTTACGATTCTTTTCGAGTTACTGTCGGACTCAAATGTAGATGCCCACATGGCATCTGTAGGCAAAAGATCTAGACTACGTGAATTTGTATCGGTGATCACGGCATAAGTAATTAGTGATGGAAACAGATTCCTAAACATAATACAAAAATTGCGGAAAAACGTGCCCATTCTATGCTTGAATCACCGATCGTTCGAAGTATATTACGTGAAATGAACATACCTCTTTTACCACAGATTAAATGCACTTATCACAGCCTCGAGAGAGAGAACAATCCTTGAATTGTTGAACAAAGCCCCTTGTTCTTTTGTCCTTTAGTGAGAATGAGTTTTCTGATGATGAAAATGCAACACACACTCACTCTTACGTGTGTTCTCACTTTTGTTTCTAGACAATAACTGCCAAGCGCAGTTACTTTCTTTCATGGGCTGGGTTAGCCCATCATGGGTGGCCCATCATGGGCGGTCCATCTTCACAAAGAAAATCCATCATCTCCCACTCGCACATGGTGGGCTAAACATTAACTCTCTCTTCTTTGCAATATTCATACTAGCAAATAATCCGTGCGACCAGCATACTTCGAGAGCTCGTTGCGATGCATCTGTTAGGAATACATAGCAGCTCAAAATTGGGTACAACGTTTTCCGAGTAGATATAGTATGCAGTCCCCTAGATCAATCAGTCATATTTATATCCCCTTTGATCTCTTTTAGTATCTCGTATATTGTATTCACAACTATAATTTACTTAAAATCATAATTGGTCGACCTGTGAATACAAACATAGAATGTGACATCATAATAAATTGATCTTCCTCTTTCCTTCAATCTCTCTATTTCAGTCCAGCTCGCTTTTCTAGAAATGCCCCATTAGATCGAATCATTCATGACCATTGGCAACATCCTAAGATAGCGAACACTGAATAGAAACTTTGAGAATAAGTTAGAGTCGTGAGGGCACTAAATGAGGAACTCATATTCTCAAGAGTCTCACACGGCATAAAGTTGAGATAAAAAACTTTTGCCACTCTTATCGGTCGTCTTATGCATACGTAGTATGAAATACGTATTACGGTATTAACTCCTTTCCCGTGGAGCGTATGTCTTTACATTCAATACCGTACAGATGATAGTTCAGACATACCTAATGTCTAAACTTGAGTTCACGTATCTACTCCTCTAAAGAATCCATTAGAACTCACATCTGGCATCAAAGACAGATAAAGTAAAATATGTGGGTTATTTTACTTTCGGACATAGTAAATGTTATGTCCTTATCTTGGCACTTAGCTAAGGCAACATTTTTATTTTAAGCTTGAGCTCTCGATTATCACCTAGATAATAAGCCTAAAAATTGTCTCATCTCTATTTATCGCACAGTAAATAGAGGCGATTACCCGTGTAAGTGGGCTAATCTCATCTGTCAGACATACTTTCTCGATATAATGCACTAAGCATTAAGATGCATAAATATTAAATAAATTCATAGGCATTAATAATGAGAGAGCAACTTCATTAAATGTGAACACTCAGGGAAAAATACAATATTCAAGTACATCACTTTCTACGCAGTCCCAGAGATTTTACATGACCATAGAAAACATCTCTTGGAATTGGCTTCATCATAGGATCTGCTATCATTCTATGCGTAGATATGTACTGCAAGTTCACATCTTTTCGTGCAACCATATCCTTGACAAAGTTATACTTGGTATCTATATGTTTGGTCTTGCCATGATATTTCGGATCCTTGGTGTATGCTATCGCTGCTTGACTATCACTATTGACTAACAATGAGTTTTCAGCATTCTTAGCAACACCTAAATGATCCAAAAATCTCTTAAGCCAAACACCTTCTTGTACTGCTCCTGACAACGCCACGAACTCAGCTTCCATCGTGGACAATGCTATACATGTTTGTTTCTTACTGCTCCAAGATATGGCGCCATTATTCAGTAAGTAAACAAAACCAGAGGTAGATTTCCTTTCATCTAAATCTCCTCCCCAATCAGCATTTGAGTAGCCTTCAAGTCGCAGATCCTTGCCTTGATAACTCAGTGAATAATTAGCAGTACCCTTTAGATACCTCATTATTCTTTTTACGGCTTTCCAATGTGCTTGACCTGGATTGGATTGGTACCTACTTACCATCCCAACTGCAAAACATCTGTCAGGTCTTGTACACATCATAGCGTACATTAAACTTCCAATAGCACTAGCATAAGGAACACGTTTCATTTGTTCCTTCTCTTGTGGAGTCTTAGGACACAACCTATGGCTCAATCCTTCACCTTTTGCAATAGGAGTATCCATGGGTTTACAGTCTTGCATACAAAATCGTTCAAGAATTTTATTTATATAAGTCTCTTGCGAAAGAGACAATAATCTCTTGGAACGATCTCTTGAAATCTTAACTCCAAGAATATATGCAGCCTCACCCATATCTTTCATCTCAAAATTGGACGATAACCAACTCTTAATAGTATTAACCAACTCCATATTGCTTCCGGCAATCAGTATATCATCAACATATAATGATAAAATCACAAATTGATCTTTGGATCTTTTGATATACACGCAATGATCTTCATCAATCATTGTAAAATCAAACGCCACTATGGCATTATGAAAACGTATATACCATTGTCTCGAAGACTGCTTAAGGCCATATATCGATCTTAGAAGTCGACATACTTTTTGTTCTTGGCCTTTCACAACGAAGCCAACTGGTTGCTCCATGTAAATTTCTTCTTCTAATTCTCCATTTAGAAAAGCAATCTTTACATCTATTTGATGTAATTCAAGATCCATGCTTGTCACTATTGCCAGAATAAGGCGAATTGAGGTAAATCTCACTACAGGAGAGAAAGTTTCTTCATAATCAATTTCTTCCTGTTGATTATACCCTTTCGCCACTAGGCGAGCCTTATATCTTTCTATTGAGCCATCGGATTTGCGTTTTATTTTGAGAACCCATTTATTCCCAATAGCTTTGCGTTCTTCTGGAAGATCAACCAGTTCCCAAACATGGTTTGACTTCATTGACTCCATTTCTTCTTTCATTGCAATCATCCATTTTTCTTTGTTAGGGCAATTTAGAGCCTCATTTACATTCCTTGGCTCGTCTTCATTTTGTGGAGCGATCATGAAAGTTTCCTCTTCAATGTCAAAACGTCGTCGGAGAATACTTTTGCGACTTGTTCGCCGTATGATAGATTGTACACGTGGTATATCATTCTCCATTATGCTCCCACTTGGATTAGATAATGACGGAATCGTCTTATCAAAAGGTTGCAATTGAGATTGAGTCGAATTCAATTCCTCACTTCTCACATTGCTTCCACTTGGACGAACTTTATCAATTTCACTATCAGGATCCAAGGTTTCAAATAGTGAATAGTTCTCACCTATTTCGCCCTTCTTAGGAAACTCATTCTCTAAGAATGTGACATCTCGTGATTCAAATTCAGTTATACTCCCACTTTCTTGCTCACCTATAAATACATATCCTTTTGAGGTTTCCGAATACCTTATGAAGATACTCTTCTTACCTCTAGGACCTAATTTTCCATACTTATGAGAAGATTCATGTGTATAAGCGGCACAACCCCAAGGTTTCAGAAAACTCAAAACGGGTTTTCTACTTGTCCATAACTCATACGGAGTGGAAATAACTGATTTAGAAGGCACACGGTTAAGTATGTAGGCAGCAGTTAATAAAGCGTCACCTCAAAAGGTGATTGGTAAGTTAGCCTGCGCCATCATGGACCTAACCATTTCTAGTAGGGTTCTGTTTCTCCTTTCCGCAACACCATTTTGTTGAGGAGTATAGGGAATAGACAACTGTCTTTCTATTTCCTTTTCATCACACAAATTTCTGAACTCATCAGATAGATATTCTCGACCTCGATCGGATCTCAATGCTTTTATTTTCTTATCTAATTGATTTTCCACCAAGTTCATAAATATCTTGAAGCAACTAAAAGCCTCAGATTTATGAGAAATCAAATAGACATATCCGAATCGAGTATAATCATCAATAAATGTGATAAAATAAACAGCCCCATGTCTAGCCCTCACATTCATTGGACCACAAATGTCAGAATGGATTAACTGCAAAGGAAATTCAGCTCTTGTTCCTTTTCCAAATGGTTTCCTTGTTGTTTTCCCAGCTAGGCAGTGTTCACAAGTGGGCAAGTCGACTTTTTCAATATTGCCCATTAAGCCTTCTTTGGCTAATCTATTCATTCGTTGTTGGCCTATATGGCCAAGCCTAGCATGCCATACGTTCACATCATTATCACACGAAGTAGAAGACGTGAAGTGGGAATAACAAACATTGACATTTACAGAATCAACATCCAGTACAATAAAACCATCTAGAAAATAACCACAATCATAATAACTCGTACCTAAATACAAGTCTACACCATTGTTATGGAAGTTCAAATTAAAACCAAGTCGAATCAATACTAAAACAGACACTAAGTTCCGACGAATTTCCGAAGCATATAATACATCATGTAGGAACAAAGTGCGTCCACCACGCATAATTAACTGGCAGGTGCCAATTCCTTTAACCTCAGCTCTGGAGTTGTTCCCTACATAAATCCATTTAGTTCCCGTTGGAACTCGTCGGAATTCTACGAAGGCTTCTCTATCCTTCACTACATGATCTGTTGCTCCCGAATCTACAGTCCACAAAGGATTTGATTCAGTTAGAAATATAGAACTTGATACATAAACAAAGTTCTCAATAATACAAGATGAGTTAACCTTCTTTGGCTCACGACAATCGCGAGCAAAGTGGCCTTTCTTGCTACAGTTGTAGCACTTCACTCTTGACATCTTTTTCTCATGAGGACGCTTTCCTCTTTGGTGTTGTTCATCTCTTGGTTTCTTCCCCGAAGAACTCGCTCTCTTACCTCTCCACCTTCTAAACGAATCAGGACGCTTGCGCTTAGAGCTCGAAGGCCCTTGTGAGCTAGAACCTGCATAGTAAATGTCAATTACCGGCTTATCCGCCAGGAGGCGGTCCTCCTCTAGCTCTAAGTGACGCACTGCATCTTCAAAGGTTTTGATGTTCTCATTGTGAGTTAGGTGCAACTTCATATGCTCCCAACTTTGAGGCAAAGAACGAATCACTGCTTGCACTTGCTGCTCATTAGTCAGAACATGGCCAGCATCCTTCAGCTCATTAATCATGTTTGACATTTTCCTTAGATGTTGTTTCATGGACTGACCATGTGGCTTCTTATATAAGTCAAATCTTATAGTGAGCTGTCTAAGCTTGGTTACAGTTGTATGACCAAACCTTGCTGCCAATGCTTCCCACATCTCCTTAGCATTTTCAAAACGCCTAAACTCTCGCATGACATCATTTTCCATGCTACTCAGCAACGTGATGCGAGCAAGGGAGTTCTTCCTTTTCCATACAGCAAATGCATCCTTATCTCTCTTATGTTGTGCAGTGTTTCCGTCTTCAGGCTCTACCATAACCAGGTTAAGAGCTTCAAGAGCCTCTTGCTCTTCCAGCACATATTGGATTTTCATATGCCAAATTTCATAATTATCACCGTTAAGCTTCTCTCCTTTGTTCAGTTCAACAACTATATTTTTGATGCTGAAGCCATGGTATCTGAACATTTCAGACATATACACACGAATTATTAATGCCACTCATTTATGCATCAATTTTACACAAACTGATTATATTAATAAATAATTTCACATAGGCTTTAGATTCGAAAGTTCACTATGTTCCCAATCATCATCAAAAAACTTAATGTGAAATTACCGTTAATGTAATCATTAAGGTAAAATTACGTTCTTTAAAGTTACTAAAACTTTTAGAACTCCCACTCAACCAGATAATATTAATAAGACAGATATTATAATATAATAGCACCATAAACTATTCATAACAGAAAATATCCGTCAACATCTATTCATTATAGAACTATTTACATGAGGAACAAATCCATCATAGGAAATAAACATTAAACACCAACATAAAAAGAACCATCCACCCAAGATATTTAACACCAACCTATATTGAACATATCCATAAGAGCTTACGAAAAATAGATAAACACAATCAGGTGGTGATCTTCTTTCTATAAACCGGAAATGACTCATGAAAATCCTCAGGAAAATCTATTTTCTTTGGCATCCAAATGGAGGCACCCGAAAAACCCCTAAATTCGGGCAACGTATTGCGCCGAGACCGATTCAATGCAAGGGTTGACGTCCTCCTTGCCCTGACCCGTATGTACTCTATCATGAATTGCTCCACAATCATCTTATAGCTCGGACCTTCTAAGGCGTCCCAAACCCTATCAATCATTCTTCCCAACTCATCAGGAATGGTGCATTTGAGGGCTCCGACCATCACATACCCTGGCATTACGAAACCGTTCCAAATGATATCTTGTATCATTTGGTTTACCTTGATGATGTGTGTCATCATGTCATCATCAGCATCCCACCGGTAAAAAGCCAGCTTGATTCTTAGTTTCTCAAGCTTCTTTTTTTGAGCCGCCGTTCTAGGAATAATAGGGGTTCGATATCTTCGTACCATTATTCCTGCAACAAATGCAGAAAAAATGAAAGAATTACTCTTAATCCAAGGTACAACATTTCAAGAAACACATTCTACCCCTTCTGCCCCTTTTTTTTTTCTCGCCGGTCAACGGTGGTCAACGCCGGTCAATGGTCAACGGGTCAAGTCTACGGGTCGGGTGGACTATCGGGTCAAGTTGGATCCGGGTCGGGTCGGGTCCGGAAAAAACCCGATTGGGCAACCGCATGGCTGACGTCAGCGTGACGTCAGCCACGCCGCACACGCCCTCATGGCGCGTGTGGTGCACGCACGCGGGGAGGAACCGCCACGCACGTGCCACGCATGTGCCGGTGAGACCGCCACTTGCGGCAGCGCGTGTGGGCGCGTGCGGCTCCTCCCGGCGGCGTGCCACCCATCAAAATTCTCGTTTCGACGAGTACTACGACTCTACGCCTTCAAAAATAAAAATTATCGCACGGAATTTCGAGAAACGATCCCGAACAGTACGGTCGGTGTCGGTTTTCGTACCCGAGCGTTCGTCGGCGCCGTTTCACGAATTCCGGCCAATATTCCGTGTTATGCACACTAGCAACGATCAGGAAACAAGAACACATGCTCTGATACCAATGATGGAAACAGATTCCTAAACATAATACAAAAATTGCGGAAAAACGTGCCCATTCTACGCTTGAATCACCGATCGTTCGAAGTATATTACGTGAAATGAATATACCTCTTTTACCACGATTAAATGCACTTATCACAGCCTCGAGAGAGAGAACAATCCTTGAATTGTTGAACAAAGCCCCTTCTTCTTTTGTCCTTTAGTGAGAATGAGTTTTCTGATGATGAAAATGCAACACACACTCACTCTTACGTGTGTTCTCACTTTTGTTTCTAGACAATAACTGCCAAGTGCAGTTACTTTCTTTCATGGGCTGGGTTAGCCCATCATGGGCGGCCCATCTTCACAAAGAAAATCCATCAATTAGATTTAAAAAAAAGTAGATGAATGAGGGCTCGGTCTAGTTATGATCCACCATTTTCAAAGTCATGACAGTTTGGGCTCGATCGCTATCTCCTCCTTCACATCTTATCCAATGGCGTGAGAGAGAAGGAAAGGTGGGGGGAATAACAAAGAGTTGCGGAAAGGCTTCGTCGATATGTTGATATGTTGATTGCATATTCCTGAAACCCCGGATTTCAAGTAAAAATCAACTGTAATATATCTCTCAAATACAGAATGCAGGTGCCTATGGTCAATACATGGCTGGCTACAGAGAGTAAGAGTGTGTCTGATTCGGATAGATACATCGGATGATTATCAATGGCACTGTACACTAGACTGACTAACAGCAGCATGTCTATTTTAGAGCAACACTCAGTCATTTTTGCTCCTTCGGGTCTTTGATGATTGTACAGCATATCAGATTGAAGACTACAGTATGACACATGCAGATTTAGAATTTTGGTTTTACGTTATCACAGGAATTTCACATCGCAGATATGCCAAGATCCTATTTAGAGAGAATTTACTTCAGTGTATTGAAATGCCTTCTAATCATGCTTGTGTTGCTTGAATATAAGTCTATGCAACGTGGTCTCTAGTTAATTTCAGAACATGTATGCTGCCATTTTAGTGTTCTACACTTGGCCTTGGTTATCCGAAAAGCAATCTGTTTTATGTTGAAATACCAAGTTGAGTACTTCAAAGAAAGAAAAGATTCTCCAAAATTAGAAAAAAAAATCATGTTCTTTGAGCCACTATCCTGAGGAACTCTAAATAGATTATAACCAAAAAGGTTTTTTGGGAAAGAATTTCACTCACCTTGTGTTTTTTCTTTTGGCCCAACTCACATTGTCATTGAGCATATCTAACTGAGTTACACTGAGTTTTTACAGTTTCTAGGATTCTTCAACGAGTCTTGATGGTTCGGAATTTAGATTGTAGGTTCCCAATTCGGCAATGACTGTGGTGTGACTCTCTACTTTTAGATGTCGACCTGTTAGAGAATCAACAGAAGACAAAACTCTGCCATTATTAGCAAAGTGACAACAGATTTAATTTGAATTTGTCATTAAGAATTGAAATGATCATCATTTGAAAATAAATGGCACATGTCTTGTGAATAGCAACTAATTACTTTGGTTTTTTTTTTTTTTGGTCGGGTACTTATTACTTTGGTTGACATTGTGTGATATGAGAAAAAGCATTTTAGGGTGCGCAGGGCAATGATTATGTGCCCAGGAACTGATTCTACTCAGAAATGATTTTTTTTTATTCTGTGCCTGAGAACTAATTCTGAACATTTGAAGGCGTTTGGTAATGACCCAAAATTTCTATTCCTGGAATAGAAAAAGAACAGAAATGCATTTGGTAACGGCACAAAATTTCTTTTTATTAATAATATTTCTTTCTTTCTTTTTTTTTTCTTTTCTTTTTTTCTTCTCCTCCTTCTTGGCCATGGCCTGGTCGCTGGCCATGGCCGGCGACCGGCCATAGGCCAGGGCTGGCGAGGGCGAGGGCTGGACCCTCGCAGCGAGGGCAGCCCTTGTCGGCCTTTTCCAACCCTCGCCCAAGTCGGCGAGGGCCGCCCTCGAGGCTCGCAGCCTGGGCGAGGGCTGGATTTTTGCCGTCGCCCTCGCCCAGTTCGCGAGCCTAGAGGGCGGCCCTCACCGGCTCGGGCGAGGGCTGGAAAAGGCCGGCAAGGGCCGCGAAGTCGCCGGTGGCCGGCCAAGCAAGAAGAACTGAAGAAGAACAGGAAAGAAGAAGGAAAAAAAAATAATTTCTTTTCCAATTCTGATTCTTGTTCCTAGAATCAAGAAGCTACTTTTTTTTTGCTTCTTGATTCTATTTCAAAACTGATTCTGGGAATAATTTTTTGCAAATTTGTGCCCGGGAACAAAACGCTTATCAAATGGATTTCTGTTCCAAAACTGATTCTGAAAACAAAAGAACAAATTTTTTTACTATTTGGCAACTTGCCAAGCGGGCCCTTAGAGGGAGAGTAAGTTGCCACGTGGCCTTTCAAATCCTGAAAGCCCTATTCATAGGCCTGAAAAGAGCACTACGTGGCCTCTCTCTGCATTCAGTAATATCATTTATTTTTTCGAATATGAGCACGATATGAAATTAATCTTTCAACATATGTTATTTGTTAAGTCTAAGATAGGTGTCCCTGTATTGTTAAACTCTTTTTAAAACAATTATTACCAAAATATTCATAGTTGTACTAGAGAATTATATAAGTTAGAAATTTATCATCAATTATATAATTAGTAATATATCACCCAAAATGCATAAGAACTAGAAATGCAAAATTAGAGGTTTGCTAAATTAAGGTTTGCTAAAGTGACCCTAAAAAGTAATTGATGGGTAAAGCTCGTGCCTGAGTGCACCAAATGGTACAATCTCGCGCGAGCATTACCCATATTTCTATTATTTCTAAAATACGATTTTAATACCTTTGATTTGTCAAATATGAGCCCGATTTGAGATTAATCATTTAATATATCATTAGTTAAATATGGGTAAGATAAGAGATATATGTCCGATATCATTAAACTCCTTCGATATTTCGTCATAAACAACTATTTGAACTATATGACATACGCGCATTTCAGAATTAGAATGGGAAATTTATCAAACTAGTCTTAAACCTATTACAATTGTGCCAATTCAGTCCTAAACTTTTTTTTTTTGCTAATTTAGTCGTAAACCTTTTTGTATTTGTGCCAATTCAGTCCATCCGGCCAATTTTGGCCGGCCGGCGCTGACATGGACACCGACCGGTACCAGGCGTCTGACCGACGCTAACGTGGTAATATTTTAATATATTTTTATATTTTTCGATTTTTTTATTTCTTTTCTTTTTCTTTAATTTTTTTTACATCTTCTTCCCTGGCCAGTCCGGCGACCGGCCAGTAGCCGTCGGTGGGCGAGGTGAGGTCGAGCCTCGCCATGGCCGGGCGAGCTCGACCTCGCCCAGCGACGGCGAGGTCTCAGCCCAGCGACGGCGAGGTCTCAACCCAGCGACGGCGAGGTCTCAACCCAGCAATATGGACGCCGGCGACCGGCCAGGGAAGAAGATGAAAAATAAAGAAAGAGAAAAAAAATAAAAAAATAAAAAAATAATTAAAATATTGTCACGTCAGCGTCGGCTGTACGGCTGGCATCGGCCGGTGTCCACGTCAGCGCCGGCCGGCCAAAATTGGCCGGATAGACTGAATTGATACAAATACAAAAAGGTTTAGGACTGAATTGGTACAATTGCAATAGGTTTAGGACTATTTTGGTAATTTTCCCGAATTAGAATCTATATATACGTAAAGAATCGTTTGCAAATATTTATTACGTAAAATATGCGTAATTTATACAAGACAACTCTGTACGAGAATACGTGAAGATACATAGATTGTATTGTTTAGAAATCTATCACCAAAATATCCAAAAGAATTACATCTGCAGAGCAAAAGATTTGCTACTCCTCAATTGATCATAAAACATGGGATCTTTACCCACTTTGGATATTGCCCCCATGTTTCTTACCTTCTCTGCTTCTTACCTACACTAGACCAGGTGAGCAAAAGAATTACTTGTATGAAGTCTTTACAAGTAGAATTCCTTGTCGAGAGAACAATCGGCATAAACAGTCTTGGACAACTGAACTGAGCACTCTAGATGTGAGGCCAAATTAGCTACTACGATTATCAACCAAGCTCTCTGTAGAGAGGAAGCATGATCGGATTGGAAGATGTATACAAGGTGTTCGCGACCATGGTGCCTCTCTATGTCGCCTTGATGCTCGGGTACGGCTCCGTGAGGTGGTGGCGCATGCTGACGTCCGAGCAAAGCGAGGTCATAAACTGCATGGTATGCTACTTCATCATTCCTCCTTTCGGGTTGGAGTTCACGGCCACGCACGCCAACCTGTTCGAGATGAATTACTCCGTCATAGCGGCGGATGTCTTGTCGAAGTCTCTCGCTGTCCTGATGCTTACCTTGTGTGCCAAGTGCAGCAGCAAAGTGGACTATAGCTGGTGCATCACCAACTTTTCGTTGCTCACCTTGACTAATCTCTTGGTTGTGGGGACACCAATTGTAAAATATGGATTAAAAAAAAAGAAAAAGAAAAAGAAAAAGGGGTTGAAAAGTCAAAGAAAAGAAAGAAAGTGGAAATTGCTTTATAAAAGGAAAAGCAAGGCAAAGAGAGAGAGAGAAGACCGAGAGCTCACTCGGCTGAAAACCGAGAAAGAAGAAAAGAAAGAGAGAGGAAAAGAGAAGGAAGAAGAAGAAAAAGAAGAGAGGGTTTTGCGCCGTGGGACCTCGCCAAGCCGATTCAACTTCGATTAGCAACGCCCGGTACGTACTCGTGCCCCTCGCTTGTCCGATCGGAAAAGTTTTCCGATTTAGGGTTTAAATTCGGTATTTTGGGAAATTAGAGCTGCGAAGTCCGATTTTTGAGTTGTTGAGCTGCGTATATATATAGAATTGATAGTTTAGGGTGCTATGGAGCCGTGGGATTTTGCGGAACCTGATTTGGACTTTCGGTTTACCGGATATGAATTTTTGAAGTTAGCCGCGCAAGGTGAACAGTGCGCGACCAGCGGGCTTTAGGCCGATTTTCGTCGGTTTTTGGCTCGATTTTGGGACGGCCAAGTTGGGGCTTTTGTAATACTTGGAACGGGCTTTCTTTTGACTATAAGTTTGCTAGGATCGGAGTTCGATGGAGAAAGTTATGACGCGATCAAGTTTTGCGCTCAAGTTCCGCATTGCAGACGATTTGGATAATAGCTTTGGATGAGCAATTTGTGGGCGTCTTTGAGTTGTCTTGTCAGCGTTTGAGCGTCGTTTAGCCGTTTCGTAATTATCGTAGTATTTTACTTGGTTTTGACATCGATTATCGTTTAATTGTTAGGGTTACGAGATCGTCGGTTCGAGTGAGCGTCGTTGTGTGATTTTTGGGGATTCCAGGTGAGTGGTGTTATCTCTTCTTTGAGTTTATAAACTCATATTTTGAAAGTGATAAGAATTTGAGTAATCGTACGAGTTGTGAAAGAACATATTTGTTGCATAAAAGTATGGATCGGGCATTTACTACTTTTTAGTATTTGAGAATGATTTGGGAATCGTTTTTGAAAATGTATTATGAAAGGATACATTTGTATATTGTGTTATGAACTAGTTTATGAAATGAGTTCGCAAATTATTCAAGAAATGCTCTACCAAATGTATTTCCGGCGGATGAGCCGTGTTGCGAGAAAGTTATTTGTTTGGTTTGTGAAATGTATTTTGGATTGGATTTCTGATATTGGATGATGATTGTTTGATGCTCAATATGACTGTGAACCCGTTGAGGGGTTTTGGGGTATGCATACCGGGTTTAGGATATCCTTCTGGGCCGAGCCACCGGCTTTGTAGGTGGAGACCTTGCCAAGGGGGGAATCTTGGTAGCCTTGTCACAAGGCTTTGTGTCGTGACCATAGTTAGATATTGAGCAATAGATTGGTCGATGGAATGGACCATCGACGTTTGATATGATATGAGATTCATCAATGGAATAGACCATTGATGTGTGATTTGAGATTAGTCAATGGAATGGACCATTGACGTGGTTTGTATAGAGATTGATCAATGGACTTGACCATTGATAGTTTGA